TATATTTTAAAAATATTTACAATATTAAATAATTAATTTAATATATTATATATTAAATAAATGAATATGTTATAGTTAAAACTTCATTAATATATATTTAATAATAAATAAAAATATAAAAAATTAATAGTCAATATATTTTAAAAAATAATATTTATTTGTTATAGTTAAGATGAAAAACATTAATATCTCATTAATAGTTTTAATTATGGTCTAGTATTTTTTAATTATTATATAAAATATTGGAGAAAATTTTTAATTTAATAATTTTAAATTATAAAAATTAAATATAAGCAATTAAAAATATAAATACCAAAATTATACATGAGTCAATAAAAGTGTAATTAATATTTTTAAAAATTATTTAATTTCATTAATTACAGGTCTTACACATTAATTAGCAAGTTTTTTTAAGAAACATATTTTTTCATTAGATGTCTGTGAACTATTATTCTCTTTGGTTTCAAAGTGATTGACGTTTACAATTTTTTCACCAAAAAAAATATAAATGCTTAATTAAAAGAATAATTTTATTAAGTTATTATTATTTTTTCATCTATTGAAAGGTTGACTCACAATACTTAAAAACCATTTCATTCACTGTTTATTTATGGCAGAATTAGAATAAAAAAAATATTTTATTGAAGTCTTAAAACGTCACATAATATGTAAATTTCTTCATTGTGCTAAAATGAGACTTAATTTAAAAATGAAAGAAGCAGTCAAAGGTTCATTTTCTGCTGAACACAACCATGAGAAGAGATGAAATAAAAAAACAGTTAATATTGTGATATGTAAAAAAAAAATTAATAAAAATACTAAATTGAATAAATCACTAAAAAAAACTAAAGAATCGATCATATCATTAATCCAAATAAATAAATAGTTTAAAGTTGATTAAAATTGACGTTAAAATATTATGTTGTTTTATTAAATATTTTATACAATGTTATTTACATATAAATAATTATTATTTAATATCTTATTTTAATTTTTAACTTATACAATATGCAATATAATTTAAATTTAAGTTTTATAATTTATATTTACTTATTGTCTTATTTGTTATAAAATAAAACTATGTATATAATTGTCACTAATTCTACAAAAATGTGATAAATGTATTATCTTATATTGCTATTAATTAATTATCTTTATTGACTTCATTTTTTAAATTGTGTTTAAGTATATAAAAATGATAAAAAAAATCTTAAAATTTATTATTATATTTCATGTATAAAAATATAATAAATATTTAATTTAAATTAAAATGTATTATAAATAATTATTAAATTCAACATTGTTAGTAGATCTCGTATTATGGTCTATCATAACATCATAAGTATGCTGTGTCTAATTTTTATTCAATATTATTATTTATTATTAATAAATATTTATTAAATTATAAAATATTATTATAAAATCATAATTTTTATAATTTTTAATAATTTTTATTAATAAAAAATATTTTAAATAATGTATTATTAGACTAATCTCGGCCCACCCTTACTCTTAATAATATTTTTTAAAATATAGTTTTTTATTTTATTTCATTTTAATAATTAATATCGTAATCAAATTATTATTTTTTATAATGCTGCAAATATTTTAAAATTTCAAATGTGTACTGTAGTTAAAATAAACTTATAAATAGAATCAAGCAGAATAACTCTCAGCTGTCCAATAGTTTTATTTAGTTTAAGACAAATTTTAATAATCATTTTATTGTATCATTAATAATATTAAATATTTTTTTTATGTTAAACATGTATTTAATAAAAAATTTAAGACTGGCCTTATAGAAATACATATTATTTTTTTATACAAATTAATTTTTAAAAAATATAAAATATTTATTAATAACATAAATTGAAAAAGTTTGGGAATATGAAAGATAGAAAATATAAATTAAAGATGAAATAAATGAAATTTTTTGAAAAAATAGAAACAATTAATTAATCAAAATTAATAAAAAATGCCATGTAGCATTTTTAGTCATTCTTAAAAATGTTGCATGACACTCTTTGAATAGTTTTTTTTAAGAGAAAAAGTAAAAAAACAAAAAAAAAAATTTAAATATGAGTAATCTTAATTTTTAGTTGGCAAATTTACACATGTATTATCTTTACGCATAGTATATTTGATGGTAATTTGTTAGTTTTTTTTCTTAATCACTATTTTATATTCTAAATAACATTAGCATACTTGTGAAAAGGTAAAAAAATTATATTATTAAAAATGTCAATAAACTTATAAGTTCTTTAAGTCAATTTCTATTCTTATTTTTAATAGAAGCACTAAACTTAACTCTTTAGACTTGTTTGGAAGTTTGAAGGGGAGAGAGAAAAAGGGTTTGAAAGGGACATGAGGAGAAAGGGAAGATATTAAACTCTTCTTTTATTTTGATATTTAATATTGGGAGAAGATGGTAATAAGAAATTTTATTATAATTATATTGTTATATTTTATATTTTTTTATTTATATTGTTTAAAATAAAAAATTCATATTTTTTTAAAAAAATTAATATTTTTATTTTTATAATTTTAAAAAATTAATATTAAAAAAGGTTAGGATCCTAATCTTGAGTACAAGAAAGTGAAAGAGAAAAATATTCAAAAAACTCTCAAATTGATGAACTAAAAAAATGAGTGTTAAACACACATTAGAAGTTTAGAAAACTTCCCCAAACTCCTCTCTTAAATAATAACTCTCAAATAATGATTAATTTATCATTTCCCTGCCCTCTTAAACACAACTCACAAACATAGTTTTATAGATTATTCTAAGTATTCTTAACATTAAAGATAAATTCAAATTTCTAATTAGTCTCTTAATGAACGAGCGTTCCAAGCAAGTTTAAGATGACTACATTTGCTCACATGAATAAAGTTGGTTGATAAGGTTCATAACCTGAAGTATAATTTATAAATTAATTTTTTTTTAATAATACAATCAACATTTCTCTATATCCATTGTAATGTAACTAATAATAAGGAAGGATTAATTTTGTGATGAGTCATAATTCATCTGCTCATATCAAAAGAAATTGCAAATCCTTTAATTTATAAACTTGCACAAACCCTTATTTTCTTAACTAATAGACCGTCTCTAATACAATAAAAAATATTTTTAGTGTAAATGTGACATTTCAAGCAAATGGGTAAAGTCATCAAATGCTTATGATGTCTTAAGTAATTTATGGGAAAGACATCAAAATAAATAAATCAAACTAAGAATTTCATTTATTTTGCACAAAAAGCCAAATCTACCCCCAACTAATGTATTAATACATAGTTTTTGAACTTATCTCTTATAATATTTAGATTTTTTGATTATTTTCTAAGAGTGAGACCCTCGATTTTTATTATAATCTAATAAATTATTTTTCTTTACATATTTTTCTACAAAAAATTGAACCTAGAGATTGTCTTTTTTATTTATTATATCTCAAACTCTTTTATCCAATAATTCTCATTAGCTTTCTTCATTGTTTTTAGATCAAACCACTATCTTAGGTTATATGAGTGATTGTGTCCTAATTCACTAAGTTAATTTTTTTTCTATCCTTATTGTTTTAAAAAAATAACATACAAACTTATTAACTAAGTAACAAATAAATTAAAGTAACCAATACAATTGTATATGTTATGTTGAGATTGCTACAATAAATAACTTACTTAAAGTTAAATATTTCGCTTTATTTTGAAAAATTTCTCTACAACTACTTTTATTTATAATAATTTTGTTTTAGTGTATATTATACTATATTGATGGATAATAAAAAAAATTACATTTTTATAACTGAATACATAATTTAAGCTATAAATTATAACAAAATCATGATTTTATTCTATTTTTTAATTTTTTTTTATTATCTTGATTCTACACTCTCACGGACACCTTAGCCTTCCTCAAAATTTGTTTATATCATAACTCAACCATATACAAGAATAATATACAAATAAATAGTAAATAAATTAACAAATCACTAAAAAAAATGTTTTTGAATATTAATTTAAAATAAAATAAATAAAAATTTATTAACTTTTTAAAAATTAAAATTTTATTTAAGTTCTATTTGAATGAAAGATGAGATAGAGAATAAATAAATAAATAAATAAGAGAACAAAAAATAAAATGAAAAATATTTAAATAATTTTAAATAAGAAAAAATAAAAAATAATCGAATTGTATATAATATTTAAAAAGACTAATTTAAAAAAAACAGAAGACATATAAAAAAGAAAATAAAATAAATTATGTGAGATTAAATTATTTGTAAAATATTTATAAAAAACGCTTATAACAAAAGAAATAAAAAATTAAAATGAATTAAAATTTCTCAAAATATAAGTTTCAATCGCGTACTCAAAATATAATTTCTCAAATAAATTATAGGTTTATCTTGAATGTTAAGTTAAACTTTAAAAACAATTAATTTTACTCTTAAATTTAATTAAATAGATGTAAATTTAAATTTAGTTTGGCTAAATTTGCATCTCAAAGCAACCAAATTTCACTACAAATTGTTTAGTTTTACTACTTATCCCCAACCGGCCTAAGATAAAGTGAAGAAGGGAGATGTAAAGAACATAAAAGCTAAGCGAAAATCTTTAGTGAAATGGGGTGAACTCTTTCTTATGTTATTTTTAGTATATCTTTAATTAGCGATTACAATTTAATAAAAATAAAAGTAAAATTAATCAAATTAGAAATGAAACAAATGTGATTTTTATAATTTTTAATAATTTGAATTAATACTAAAAAAGATACATTTAAAAGAGTACCCTATATATGTTAGTATTATTTTTTCAAATATGTTAAACCATTTTATTACAATTTGCATAATGTTTACAATCTTAATAAATTAAAACTAATAATAAAAAAAACGTATTTAATAAACAAGAACATATCTTATTTAAAAGAAATTGTAAAAAAAAAAAGGTGGCATGGTTTCTCAGATCCTTAAACCCTTCCGCCACAACGAAAAATACTTTTGCGGCACTATTGGACGCAGGGCAGAGGACAGCCAATACACCTCTGTATTTGTTCTGTTCCGTGGAATCTGAATCTGTGTTGTGATTGATGCAGAGGATCTAGCCCTCCCTCCGATGTTGCTCTTCTCCAAGTTCAGGAAAGCATTGCAGATCCCCTGCGGATTCCGGCGACACCTCCGAAGACTCTGTGTTCCGTCCGAGGAACGTGTCTCATCAAACCCGCAACTGAGTCTTCGTTTCTGCATGTGGGTGGCTCTCAAGTTCGAGAGCATTGAATCTCGAGATTACTATGACTTGGTGACTGATGTTCTTTGCGTTAACAACTGGCTTTCTCTTTACTGGGGGGCTCTTGAGTTGCTTAAGAAATCTGGGGTTTTGATAACTTCTGATTCTGTTAGATTTTTGATTAGGTCCTATAGGCGAATTGGTCTCCCCGAGAAGGCGATAGAGTCATTTGGAAGAATGAGTGAATTGGATTGTAAGCCCGATTCTCATGCCTATAACACCATTTTGGTTATTGCGTTGAAGAAAGAGTTGTTGTTGCTGGCTCTTGGGGTGTATAATTTGATGCTTAAGTCTAATTGTTGTCCCAATGAGTATACTTATAACCTGTTGATTGGTGGGTTTTGTAGAAGTGATGATGTTAAGGGTGCGCTTGAGATGGTTGATGAGATGGCCCAAAGGGATGTATTGCCGACTGTCTTTACGTATACCACTATTCTTTCTGGTCTGTGTAATGGGAAGAAGGTTGATGAGGCACAAAGGTTGTTTAATGGGATGATGCAAAACGGGTGCCAGCCTGATTTGATTTCTTATAATGTTTTAATTAATGGGTTTTGCAAGATGGGTAGGTTAGACGAAGCCATTTCGATGCTACGGTTGTTAGAGAGAGATGGGTATGCCCTTGGATTATCCAGCTATAGTTCTCTGATTGATGGCTTTTTTAGGGCTAGGAGATACAATGAAGCATATTCATGGTACACGAGGACGCTTAAGGAGGGGATTAAGCCAGATGTTGTTTTATACAGCATTATGATAAGGGGTATGTCGAATGAGGGGAGGGTGGGAGAAGCTGTCAAGATGTTAGATGAGATGAACGAGAAAGGCATAGATCCTGATGCTCATTGTTACAATGCAGTTATTAAAGGTCTCTGCGACATTAATCTTTTGGATCAAGCTCAATCTCTCCAACTTGAGATTTCTGAGCATAATCAGTTTCATAATGCTTGCACGCATACCATTCTTATCTGTGACATGTGTAAGAGCGGAATGGTTGGCGAGGCGAAGGAAATATTTAATCAGATGGAGAAGCTTGGATGTTTTCCTACAGTTGTGGCCTTCAATACCCTTATAAATGGACTGTGCAAGGCTGGCGAACTTAAGGAGGCACACCTTTTATTTTACAAGATGGAGATTGGGAGAAGTCCTTCGTTATTCTTCCGGCTTTCTCAGGGTTCTGATCGGGTTTCTGATAGTGCTGGTCTCCAGAAAAAAGTGGAACAAATGTGTGAGACTGGACAAATTTTGAATGCTTACAAGTTTCTTATACAACTTGCTGATAGTGGGGTTGTGCCTGATATAATGACTTACAACATTCTAATCAACGGATTTTGCAAGGTCTGTAACATTAATGGTGCTTTGAAGCTTTTCAAGGATATGCAACACAAGGGGCTATCACCCGACTGTGTTACTTATGGGACACTAATTGATGGGCTTTACAGAGTTGGCAGAGAAGAGGATGTCTTCAAGATTCACGAGCATATGTTAACACATGGGTGTGAACCTAGCTTGGCTGTTTATAGAGCACATATGACTTGGTTGTGTAGAAAAAGGAAAATCTCAAGGGCCTTCAGTCTTTATTTAGAATATTTGAAGAACTTTCGTGGCAGGGAAGTTGATTCAGTCAATGCTCTGAAGGAATGTTTTGTCAAAGGAGAAGTTGAACAAGCAATTCAAGGTTTACTAGAACTGGACTTCAGGTTTGGAGATTTGGATGTAGCTCCATATACAATTCTTCTTATTGGATTTTGTCAAGTAGAAAAAGTTGATGAAGCGTTAATTATATTTTCAATTCTTGATAAATTCAATATCACTGTCAGTTCTACAAGTTGTGTACATTTGATCAGCAGTCTCTGTGCAGAAAAGAGGCTGGAAGAAGCCATAGTTATCTTCCTTTACACTCTTGACAAAGGTTTTGGGTTGAAGCATAAAATTTGTTGCCGGCTCCTGAACTGTCTTCTTGACCAAAATAAAGTGGAGTATGCCATTGATCTTATTGGTAGGATGAAGTTTGTTGGATATGATTTAAATAGCATTGGTTATCGTAGAACAATGTCCCTTTTTCATCAAGTACAGACTGAAAAGGACAAGCAGTAAAAATTTGCTTCTCACACGATTAAATATCACTGACTGATCAAGATGAATGAATTTCTTTATTCAGCTCTTCACATATCCTCATTAAGGAAAGTGGTTATGAATCAGGAGATGAACCAAAGGTGCCCTTTAATCCTTATGCATATGTTGAGTGTTGAATGGTGTCTTTCCTGAGTTACGATTGAAAAATTATAGGGATCAATTGAAGTGTATATTCTCGTATGCGGGCTTTTGGGATTTTACTTTGCATTAGGAATTGAGTTCTCTAGAACTAATATAGAAATACAGACACTTTAGATCTCTGAATTTTCTTCATTGCTGTAAGATTTTAAAGAGCAAGTAGGAGAGTTGGTTTGAGCTTTAGATCTAGTGAAGCTTAGTTAGTAATTTAGTATGATGAAATAGATGCACCCAATGTCACTTGATCTTGTGGCCTCTCTTTGACCTGAAATACCCACAAAACTTCTCATTTCTATTATCTTTGGAATTTGTAAATTCTTCTTCCCTTCTTCCTTTGTGGGCTTCTGTTTTTGGGAACCTTATGATTCATTTATGCACAACCTGTGGTCGCATTTGAATGTGTGTAGCAATAAAATGTGGAGCAATAAAATGACGGGCTTTCTTCAAATTTAGAATGTCATAGACTGAAAATAAGATTTTCTGAATTATGCTGGTGATTGGGAGTCCTACCACCACTGTCCAGCCATGACTACTTGTGCTGCTTTGCTCAGACAACTTGAAGTCAATCACCTTTTCTTGTCTTCTCTTTATTATTTCATGTCTTCACCTCCAAGTTTTGCTCAGAGGACTTGAGGTGTTTCGAGATGCTGGTTTTTGGAATTTGGGAATGAAAGAATTTCTTAATTTTGTTCTGCTTGTTCTTAGTTAAGAATTTACTTCTAGTTATTTGTTTTTGGTGCCAATTCCTTGTCTTCTTGGCTATTCTCCACCTAACAATGTTTTCTTTTTCATCTGGGGATCATTTCTCTGTTTTATTGTGTGAAAAAGATATTAATAGATGGGGTCTCTATAGTCTGTAGGTTTTTCATTATAGGGGAAAGGAGGCATTCTTTAGATACAGAGATTAAAGGACTTGAAAAAAAAATAAAATTAAAAAAAAAAATAAAAAAAAAATATATATATATATATATATATATATAATTTCCCCTTCCTTTTAGTCTTGACATTTGAAATGGTTGCTTTTCAGCAAATTGGTTACTGAAAATTTCTAGGAGCGCAATAGGTGGGTGTTAATCTTGATTTTTAAACCACATTTTTCTTTTTTGGTAATCTGTCTATTATATAAAAGGAGTACCGACATAGTTAGATCTCCTCTTAAAATGAGAACTTAGATTTCCAATCCCAGGTACATTATCGATGCCATTATGCTTGATATTTTCCTTCTTGCAGGGCCATTATTGCTGGGACAATTTCTTTTGCTTTGGCATTCTGCATCCTTGTCATCAAAATCCGGTACGACCCTTCATTTCAGGCATTTTTGGGTTTTCTGGTTGTTGTATGCTTCATTACATTTCTTCCTATCTGCCTAAGAACCTTTAGGAAAACATTAGCGAGAAAGAGGGAAAGAAGAATGTCATTGTTCACATGGACATTCTTTATGGCGATATCTCACATATTGTACAGTGTCAGGCAAAGGTGTACCAAAGATAGTCACGATCTGATCCTGAATGAGAAGTTCTTGCTAATGATAAATTTCATGGGATTTCAATTAGCCTTCCATGTCTTTTCACATTTTAACATCCAATGATCAAAATTTAGTGAATAGACATTGTTACTTGTGTTTATCCCCAAAAAGGAAAAAACAACATTTATTTTATTACTTGTTCAATTTCAGTGTGTATATATCAAATGCAAGGTTTAGTTGTATATTACTAGGTTGCTTACGATTTTCTTTGTAAATGGATTCTATGCCTCACATAGTTGGTTACTTAAGTAAGTTGAAATGCTAAAATGTGGTTTATGTAATGCGGATGTGCATTCCCATTAAGATTGATAAGGATCGAAACATGGGCACCCTCAAAACATGAACTGATGTCAGATGTGTTTTGGGGGGGGGGGGGAGATACAAAACAAGTCTTTTTTCAGATACGTATGATGCAAAGCAAGAGGGTTAAGATAATAATTGTTTATTATTTTACAATTTAATATCAATTTGAGAAGGTGATCCTGAGTCCTGACCATGAACCTCAACTTATATTGTCATCAACTTATCCTGTTGACTGTTGCAAGTTTCGTTGTTCCTCTGATTGAGTGCAGTAATATCTTCATTCTTCAATATTCAGGTTAGTCAATCTTCCATCTTCTGCTACATGCTTATTTTTTCATTATAACCATTTTGTTAATAAAGGTGTAAACCCATGGAAATTTTAGTATATTTAATATGGTTTTGTTATCATCTGCCCTTAGGGCTGATTTTAAGCATTCAAAATTGGTAAGATTTTATTGGAAAAACAAATATTTATTATATAAAAAATATGAAAATTGTAATAAATATTTTCATTTCCATAAAAGCTTACAAATTTTGAAGGTTTAAAATCAGCCTTAAGGGGTAATGTCAACATTTTCCTATTTAACAAAGCTATTCTGCTTAGTACTGACTGAAACTTTGTTCTGCAGTCTTTGTTGTTCCTCTAATTAACAATAGGACTTAGTAAAGGGGAAGTATTAAAATGTGACTCTTCTGAACATGGTAGTTAAAATCGGGAGTTGAATCGTAAAATCGTATGATTTGGGTCAGCCAGATGATGCAGATCGGAGCAAAAATTGGTGAAAAATGAAATTGTGATTTGGATCATAAAATCGGTTAAATCCCAATTTGCCTTTGATTTCAGCAAAATGAGGGTCGGATGCGGATTTTGACCCAAAACTTTTATAATTCGAGCCCAACCCAGTTTTTCATTTAGGCGCGAAAGAAACTCTGCGATATTAAATCCTTCTTTTTTCTTCATCAAAGCCTAGAGCGGCTTTCTTCTTCTTATTTGCGATCTCTCGGGTTTTGTCTATCGATCTGCGCCAATTTACTTGTTTGTTATTTTCTTCTCATATTTCTCTGTTTTCATCATTGAACCCTAAACTGACAAGGGGACAAGCTGACAACGACTTGCTAGGTTTTTCTTCCTCCCCTGTTTTTTTTTTCATCTTGTCCGAGAATGGCATCAAACATGGTTGGGGTCAAAGCTCAGGTGGTGGCATTTCTGGGTCACTCCCAACTGCAACCGACAGCTCCAATGCTATGGGCTCTTTAAGCGTGCCTCAAAAGTTGGTTCCCCAAAATGCCCGTGGAAACAAGGGTGATGTGGGATGGAAGTATGGATTTTCAGTCCAAGGAACTGTGAAGATTCAATGCAAATTCTGCCAAAAGGTATTCAATGGAGGGATTTATCGCCTAAAACATCACTTGGCTAAAACAAATCAAAATGTTGAAGCTTGCAAATCTGTTCCCGATGATGTGAATAAGGAGATGATGGAGGTTCACATCATTCGGACAGTTTTGCAAGAAAAGGGGTGTAGATTCACAGGCCATAATAAACAACATATTCAAGAAGGATATAAGAGAGGATGCATGTCAAGCAATTGCAAGATTTTTCTACAACAACGCCATAACTTTAGATGTGGCAAGAAGTGAAGAACTTCCTGCCATGTGTGAGTTAATTGCACAACACACTCCAGGATTTAAGCCACCCTCTTATCATGAGATTAAAGTGAAGTATTTGAAGCAAAAGGTGAAGATGACAATGGAACTTATTGAAAAACATAAGGCTGTTTGGAAGAGTGTTGGCTGTACAATAATGACAGATGGGTGGACTGACAAAAGGAGAAGAACCATTCTAAATTTCTTAGTGAACAGCTCGAAAGGAAGTCAATCGATGCTTCCTACATCACCAAAACAGTTGATAAAATATTTAAGATGCTTGATGAAGTTGTGGAAGAGGTTGATGAAGAAAACATAGTGCAAATTGTAACTGGTAATGCAGCAAATTATAAATCTATTGGAGAGATGTTGATGGAGAAAAGGAAGAATTTATATTAAACTCCTTGTGCTGCACACTGCATTGATTTAATGCTTGAAGATTTTGAGAAAAAGATATCCCTCCATGAGAAAACAATTTCAAAGGGAAAAAAAATCACAACTTATATTTATTCAAGGACTTCTCTCATTTCATTATTACAACGCTTCATAAAAGGAAAAGATTTGGTGACACTAGGTATCACTCGATTTGCCACTTCATATTTAACTTTGGGATGCCTTCATGAGAACAAAGGAGCTCTTTTAAGAATGTTCTCGTGTGACGAATAGAAGTCCAATAAGTTTTCTAGGACAAGAGAGGGAAATTTGGTAGAGGAAGTTGTTTTGGACAATGGGTTTTGGAAGAATGTACTAATCTATTTAAAGGGTGCATATCCTTTAATTAAAGTCCTTCATTTGGTTGATTCAGATGAGAAGCCAGCCATGAGCTTTGTTTATGAGGCAATGGACCAAGCTAAAGAGGCTATTAATATAGCTTTCAATGGTGTTAAAAAGAGGTAATTGATTATCTATCAAATTTAGTTAAAATTAAAATTTAGTAGTCTTTTATTCATTTTTAAAAAATTAACTTATTTTATTTATTTTTTAGTTACATACCTTTATAAAATATCATTGATAATAGATGGGACAAATAATTTCATAAGCCTTTACATGCTGCTGGCTATTTTCTCGACTCTCAGTTATGTTATAATCTTGGATTTAAAGTTGATCTTGAAGTTAAACGAAGACTGTATTATTGTATGGCAAGGATGGTGCCCGATATTGAGGAATATACCCAAATCAATGTTTAAATTGATGATTTCAAGAAACAACAAATGTTTTTTTGGTAGTTCCTTAGCTAGAACAACACTTCAGAAAAAGACTCCAATTGATTGGTGGGAGTTGTATGGAGATGAACATCCAGAGCTTCAAAAGTTTATCATTCGTGTATTAAGTTTAACATATAATTCATCTAGATGTGAACATAATTGAAATGCATTTGAGATGATAAAATTTTTAGTAAAGTTGTTTTTAATTATCTACATTTTACAAGCCTACATATTGCATATACATATTTTAATGTGTTTAGGTCTATTGATATTGCCAATCTGGCAATTCTTTTGTAAATGTCAACTTTTAGGCATCTCCTTTCCAGATCTTATTGATCTGATAAAATACCGTTGGCAAGTCATTCGTGACTTATAAACATCGGCATAATTCTTTTGAACATAATGACTGAAAAGAAATAGGTGTGACGTTTATTTTGAAACATGAAAGACCTCAAAAGAACATGGTGCAGTAGGAAAAGAAGTTTCCTCCTCTTTCCCTCATTTATTGTATGATTTATTAATAGAGAAAAAGGCATACATTTTGCAGGTCTCACAAAAATATTGTAGGACTCGTTAAATGCACGTGTCTCTTTCTCATAATAGAGCATCTAGTAATGGAGAATATTTTTAACTATAAGAGACTCTCTATACTTCTCAAATCACGGGAAGATGTAATATTACCTGAGATGCGATAAAAAGGTACATGAAAATGAATCGCAGTTTTTGTTTTGGTGCTTAATTGCGGATTAAAAAAAATAAGGTCTTTTGAGTTTAATTTGTGGGCCCTAGTTTTGTGTTTCACACGGCTCCTATATGTACTGGAAATGACCTCTTCTTTTATATTGAACGTTCTTTAAGAGTTGAGTTTGGATCTAACATCATTTTCCCCCTCAGAGTAATAATTCACTTCACCCGTTGAACCAGACCTACTTATAATTTAAGTTTCTTTTATCAATGTTACCATGATTTTCTCCAATGCTACAAAACTTCATAGTTTACAATAAACAATGTTTTTTTGGGTCATGCACTAAACATAATGTTTATTGCGGATGGTCATTGCCAAGTGAAACTTCCAACGCCTCACATTTCCTCCTCTTTGGATAACTTATTTTAAATGTACACTTGCTGAGGTGTAAACGTATTGACCCGTGAATTATCTTGCTGACATGAGATAGTATAATTAAATGCATGAGCGAATGATGAGACTCGAAACTCAAAACTGATGAGGTGCTCTACCAAATCGTCAATGTACTCAATCTGTGCTGGTAATTACCTGGTGACAGACATAAAATGTGATTTGTGATCCACGCAAGTCAAGTTTCTAGCGATATACCACGCTTACCCCGTGACTAGTTTAGCTTTCCATGTTTGCAGCATTTGTGGTTCTCAATATTGGAATTTTGTTAAGAGAAGACCAAGACTAATGAAACGAGCTTAGTTATTTTCTCTAGCCTAAAAAAATTCTCTCTTAAAAAATCTAAACCGATTTTGGGGCTAAATTGAGTGCTTTTATGTAACCTAGAGGTAGCATTTGACACCATGGAATGGAATAATTTAAAATGTTATATTTCGTTTTTGAAATGTGCCCATAAGACAAAATCAATATTACGTTTGTACCATTATGATTCTTAACCATCGTGACCTAAATATGCAGGTAAAGGGAAATTTTTACCTAAAGATATTTTACCTGATGTAAGTTTCCGCTAGGGATGTCTCCAATAGAACGTTGAATGATACAATAAGATGTCTCACTCATAATAGTACCTAGATTCATTGTTAATTCAAAGTATATTTAATGACAAATGAGAATTTACCTTGGAATGTTGCAACCTTCCCTTGCTTGTCCTACACTACTATTATTAAGAAAAAGGGTGTAGTGAATGATTAAAACACAGCTGGAGGTTATGCTATTGTAAGAGGTGCTAACAGCTAAGAACATGATATGTGAGAAAGCTACATGCGAGTCGCCATACATATTCTTTAATGATTTTTTTGGAATAAAAATTTAAGGATAAAGAATGGCGTTGCAGTTCTATACAAGTCTCCTAACTCGATCATTTATAGTATAAGACTTACATATTTACCTTGCTCTCCAAAGATGGGTAAACTTGTAACTTGTTGGATGCAAAAATCAAACTTATACTAACACCATGGGAAACCTTATTTTTCATAAGACGAACGTTAACAACACACTTTTTCTAATACACTCCTTATTATTTGCTAAAATTTATTGAAAACTACCAAAATCATATAAGTTCCACTCTTTCTCGTTACTAATTTAAGATTTTTCTCTTATACTTTTGTAATTTTAATAAATTTTAACCAACAACAACGAGTGTGTTAGATAGAGTGTATTGCTAACATTTTTCTTTTCATAAACATTTTGCTTCAACTTTCAAATAGAAGCATGAATGTTTTTTTTAATGAAAAATGCTAATACTTGTCCTTAAGGCACTACTCAAAGAATAAAAAAAGGAAAAGTTTTATGGAAAAATGTTATTAATACACCCTTTGTGATTTTCAATAAAACGTGATGTGATTTTTTATAAAACGTTTTGTTCCTTAACCAATGCTCTTAAGGCACAAGTAAATAAGACGTTTTTTTCAAATGGACATGCAATTTTTTTAGATGAGACATGATACAGTGTTGAGCCTAGAACAGACATTTGGACGGGTTTTGAGCCAACAGGAGGGGGAAATTGTATAAATTTATGAAAGATGAGCAAGTTTTCTGCTTGTTGGTTGTTCATTAGATCAACTAAGCATTTTGAATTCTCAGACATTCATACAAACTCTACAATTATGGTGCATTATTCGCAAAATTGATTTATCTACCATCCAGTACTATATCATATATTTCATACAAATTACCAGCTATATATGCCCATATCTCTATGAATAAGCTTGAAAAAGTATCCAGTTTTGAGCAGTATCATGGCACCTGACACCATCACTGCAAGGTTGCCAATCTATCCCGGAGTCTCCATAGGTAGAAACCTGTCAATCACAAATATAGTGTTGCATCTCATCATGCATGTTGTATGAAAGGCATATCCGTGCATCTCAATTAGGGAATGCTTTGGTTCACCATATTGATGGCAAGAGCCAAAGAAGTGCAAAGCTATTATAGCTCCCCTCTATATACAAGTAATGCAGATCCTCAAAACCCGATAGGCAAATAACAATCATTTAGAAACATTTACCTAAGTAAGTTGTCAAGTTGCACGAAGGGATCGGACACGATTTTGAATCAAGCTCCTTTCCCAGTCTGCTATATCCTCAAATGCATGTTCTGGAAGACTCTCAAATGGCTCTTTCCATGGATCATTCTTGGCCAAATCATAAGTAGCTCCACGAATTGCCCTTTTATTTGGCCCACAAGGTCTTTTTGAAGTTAGCATATCATATGCTGTATTTAACTGTCCAAAGAAAAATGCCACATTCATTTTGTGAAAAAATTAACCCTTCTCAACTAAGAAAACGGTTAACCAATCCATCACCACCAAGAAAATGATGTACAACCAAATTCAATACACATGAAAAACGAGTAGTATGGAAATTGTTTCAGAATTCAAAGATAAGGGGTGAGGGTTTAGGACTCACATTCATGTCACAAAACCAGAATAAATAAGCAATTGCCACTGCTGGAGCTCTTCCAAGTCCAGCCGTACAATGCACATAAACTCTTCCTTTTCCCTCAGAAATTGCCCATTCTAAGGATGAGACCGCTTTAGGTAGTTCACTTCGCAAGGAATCAGGATCAAAGTCTTTTGCCTAATAATGTAGATAAGAGAAAAAAATCAATAAAATGAGAATGACAGTATAATATAAGAACTACAAAGCAAAGCATTCTGTAAAGTAGATCAATTTAAGAGTCGGGATAAGTTTACAATATGGATCATGACACAACTCAAAACTCTACTTCCTAACCACATTAGGCAAATCACTTTAATATGTTGTTTAGATTATCACAAAATGCAAGTCTTTCTTTATCTTTTGCCCTCAATAAATTTACAGAAAAATGAGCTTGCTTACCGGTCTCATCATGTGGCTAATTTCGAGTTCACCACACCTTCGTATTATTGACTGCAAGTCTATTCCCCAATATTCAATATCCTTATCTTGTTGCAAGTTAAGAATGTATGCCACACCCTCTTCCTTTTTCAGGTGATCTATGTCATCGGGTTTCTGTGGTTGAGAGCCCACAACCAAATAGTCAGTAATCAGTGTGTAATTCATACCTGAAATCAGGAACCACTGTTTGCATCAGATGAATGATATAGTAGGTCTCATCATAAATAAAGCAAAAATTTATGAACTTTTTTTTAATGCCCGTTTACATCAATTGCAAAACTTGTTTGTACAAGTTAAAATTAAACTTTGGCACGAGTTAATAGATTTAAAAAGAGGTAGCATTTGACAGAGCAAATGGCGCAAACAAAAGTACTAGCTAGCAGATGTCAATGTTACGTGTGGTAGCAATAGGATAGAGATGAAACTGACCCAGATCGTGATGATACTCGTAAGGGTTCCTCATCATCCTCTTCATAGCTAAATTGTAGTCCTCCATTCTGTCCTTGGATTTTGAGGCCTTCTTGCTTGTGGGGTTCTCCTCAATCCCACTTTCTGATAATTTACAACAGATTTGACTCCGCGTAACAGAGTATTTAAGAGGAACCACAAAACCGCATGCTGATTTATTCATCTTCATCTGCTTTGAAAACGGTTGCGTATGCACAGGAACTCTGAATACTGAAGGGAAGCCAATGCTACTAACTGTTCCCATGTCTGATCTCTACTTGCGTTTCTTGTTTGTCTCTATGTCAGGGGTGGTTCTGGTGTATAATGTACACACTGTTGTTATTCTGTGACACGTTCATGATAGTATTTTGACCAAAACGCCCTTGGATATTTACTCAATGTTTTTTTAATGTTTGTTTAAGTTACTCCACAAAATGGGTAATTTCAGTTCATCAATAAAATTAAAATATTATATTAAAAATTGTATTAATATTTTATTAAAAAATATGCATAGTACTAAATAATTAAATGTTTGTATTATATATTAAACAAATGTATCCACTTTCATAAATAAATAATAAAGATATTGTTAACATCGTAAATAATAGTTATTATTTTTTATAAATAGAACTAAATTATTGTAAAATATGTAATATTTTATTTTTATATTATTATTTATTTAGAATGTACTTGAAGCATGGATGAATAAGTTCTGTATAAAATCAAGTGAAAGCAGGGTTGGTCAGCCCCAACCCTATCACCGCACGTTGCGCACCTAAAAGTGGATCAGGTTTTGCAACAATTTGTTGAAATATCTTATAATATTGATATTATATTTTAAAATTATTTATAATATTTAATATTATCAAGGTTTTGTCCTAAAATATTTCAAGATATCTTAAATATTCCCAGTTAAAATTACTTTTTCTAATTTCACATTTTTTCATATTTTTAATATTTCATAATTTGCTTCTTTTATTTAATCAGAATTAATAGTACATCTAAAAGATAATGTAATGTGATTTAGCATCGTAACTCACGTTAAATTAAGTCAATATCAACTTTATTATATTTGATTCCCTCATTTTCGTTTCTTTTATGTCTATATACCTATAATTCATCCCACTTAATTTTTTTTATCTATTTTGAATAATTGTCATACTCTTATTTATTAAAATATAATTTTCAAAACTTTTTAAAATATAATATCATCACATGCAGTGTCAAAACTTAAGAAATATTAACACTAAGTCAATGTCTCTAAATTTCGCCATTGCTAAATTAATTTTTTATGTGCAATAAGTTACAAGAGCAAAGATATCCATAAAAGTTTCCAAAAAGCATAACCTAGTCGCATGTACATTATAATATTATATAGATAATTTAAAATAATTATTAAAATTTAAAAATAAATAAAAAATTTATGAATACGAGTATGATAAAATAAAGGAGATATAAATTGAAAGATAGTTTTTATTCTTGAATAAACTTACATTTTTTAAGTTAAATTATACATAATATCACATGTTATATTATACTTAAATTATTTTTAAGATATTATTTTAAGTTGTATAATACTATTATTAGGATATTGATACGTGTCAATATGTTTAAATTTCGCTAAGACAAGTGACAATTTTTTTAAAAATAAATTTTATCATTTTCAATAACAAAACTAGTGATAATATAACAAAAAAAAAAGTTCTGCTGACTACAATAGTGAAACTAGTAATAACATGATAAAAAATTCCTAAACATAAAAAATGTTTTAAAAAATTATATTTTAATAATAAATTATTTTATAAAATAATAAAAACTAAAAAACATACAATTTTATCTTTAAATTTAATTGTCTGAAAAAAGAAATAACAAATTCCACCTTAACTATATCTAAAAGATAGATAGGGGATGATAGAGATTGTGAATTATTACATGATTCCAAATTATTTATTTATATAGTTTTGGCCAATTTCTATTTATCACGTTGCTAAATTTTATCAATTTTTTAATTAAAAAATTAACCACATATTATAAAAATATTAACCGAACTATAGATAGATATATAGTGACTTAGACCATGCAATAATTTTCCGATTCCGAAGAGATAAAGAAGCTTCGCATCCTTCGTCATGAAAAGTGAGGCACAAAAGTCGAATACGGACGGTGGATTGGAGATGACCCAGTGGGGCAAATACCGGCCCAATGCTTTTCTTTAACAAAATTTGGGCCTCGTTTAAGGCCCAAAGAGGAAACGAGTAAATTGGTGGCAATGAAGAAAAGATCTGCTTTAGTTTTAACCAAAAGAAAAAATTTGCTGACTACGGTACTCTAAACTTGAAAAAATATTTAATACTATTTTTAAATTATATTAAAATATTAAAAAATATTTTTTTTAAAAAAATATATTAATAATTTTACTACTAAAATTAATAATTATAATTATTTTATGTATATAAGAGCATAGAATGCTTTGTTAAGATGGCTCTTTCTTCTTAGGTGTCCCTTTCTCCTTAATTATATGCTACGGTCTACTGCTACATAGAGAGTCTATTCCTCTATCATGCCATTAGTAGGTGTGAGCAACTTACCCCTTGGCAGGCTGTGATGCTAAATCAAATATGATTTTTTTTTTCTCTCTATGTAAGGCTTAATCAAGTTATGTCTCTAAAAATAATAATATTTTTTATTTTATAATTTTTGTACTTAAATTTTATATTTAATAAAAAATATTACATATTTTTTACATTTTTTTAATATAAATGTGAATAATTTTTATAGAAATTAAAATAAATAATATAGTATTCGTAACAACTAATTATTAGATATTGAGACTTCTTCTATCTTGTTTAGATAAAGACTCAAGATAAATAAGTGTAAAAGTGAATGTGAGTTAAAAGAGAAAAAAAAATATTTTAAAAAAATAACAACTATCATTGTGAGAGAAAGAAAAAAAATTATTTTCACATAACTTTAAAATAATTTTGATAAATTTGTTTTTGTAAAAGTTATTCATCATTAGATAAAATTGAAATTTTGATAGAAGTTTCATGATGTGTGATTCATCTTAAATAATTTATATTGTTGCTAGGATGTTGCGATTAGTTGAACTTGCACAGTAGCTCTATTTTTGAGTATTTTCATATTCTTAGTTCTTATTTTATAAATTTTGTTACAAAATTTGATTGGTTGATTGTAAGTATGATTTGTACACATATTTGTGACTTTTGTTCACCATTATTTGATCATAGTAGAGTTATTTTCTTAATATCGATGACTCATAATTTTTATCTCTCATATAGAAGGAGTTTTTCATGTGAAACAACTTAATGTCAACTTTATATTTTAGTATTTTCGGTTGCTGCAATATTTGTTATTACTTCTTGTAGATTTTTGAAAGTTAAAAGATTTGATTCTATTACATTATTTATTATTGCATTTGTGTTGTGTTATTGTCCAATATCATAGTGAGATTAGAGCTTTTTGGTTGAAGAGTGTTGTATGTAACACTCCAAATTTTGTAATATTATTTTATTATTAATATAAATATGTGGATTGCTATTTGAATGTGTAATTGATGTATGTCATGATGGTGTGGATATAAGTGTATATGTGTGATAATGTGGATGTATATGAATATGGGTATATGAGCATGAGTGTGAATGTTGATTCTGTATTAAGAATGTTTGACTGTGATTGGTTTGGATTGATGAGAAAATAGGCTAAGTGTGTGTTACATGGACATTCTCGCTGTAGTGAGAAGGCCTTGGACGAGAGGACTGCATTTGTTGTGATTTCACTGTAGTGAGAGACTTTTCGCTGCAGCGAGATGACAACAAAGAGAGGTGTTTTCTGGGTTGCAGTCTCGTGAGAGCGTCTCACTGTAGCGAGATTCTATAAAAATCAGAGTGTAGTTTCATCTGATATTTTTTCTATAATAAGAGGGTGTGTCGCTTCTCGCTGTAGCGAGAACATCACGACCAGATGGGTATTTGAAGTGTTTAGGGGTTTGAAAAATTCATTTCTCATTCCTGTCTTCGAAATTCCTTCGATACTCTCAACTTTCAACCATATTTCATCGATTAAATTGCCTCCAAAGCCGTTTGGGAGCTAGATTGAATATTGAAATTGTGTTTGGAATGCTTGAAGGTGAGTTCTATGGGTTTGGGTTTCGATTTTCGTCCCTCTTCCTTGCTTTCTCAGTTTCTCATGGAGATTTTCCATGTGTTTAGGATGAAATCTGTATGGGAAGCATTTCCATTGTTGATTTCGTATTGGGTTTTCATTCCGAGGTAAGGGGGGACTCTACTCTATCTCATTATACTTGGAGATTGTTTATTTGGATGTATATTGTAATGTGATTAGAATGATATGTAGGAAGAAGTGTATTTTGATGAGAATGGTTTGGTTGTGATTGAATCTTGATGGAAATGTGGTGTGTAATATAATGTGATTGCTGTTTGAGAACGGTATATGATAAATAATGAATGTTATGTGATGAAATGGTGTTGAAAATTCTGTGTTTAAGTATAATGTGGTTGACATGTGTGAACATGCTATTTATTGATGACGAATGATATGAAATGGTTGAAAGTGTGGAAACGGCATGTTAATTGTGATTATTATTGTGTTTGGAAATGTTGAAAACTATGAATGGTTCAGCGATACACTAGGGGTGTGAAGATGTGGGCAGTAGAGATACCTCGGGGAAGAGAGGGTGGTAGTGACACCAATAATGAGCGTGAGTGCACCACAAGTCACACACTCTCCTCCTAATTCGGCATCTGACTAACACCTTTGTTTTGGAGCTCAGTACTGCGCATGTTGTATCCATGGAGCGGGAGCTATCCGGCGACCATTCATGGTGTGAACTGAATAAGTCCCTGAGGTTGAGGGAATCAGAAATCTGTGATCATAGTGCCACAATGAGCGTGACTAACGTGTAGTGAGCGCATATGTGTGTATGGATTGTTTGATAGTGTAGTGAGCGCACTTGTATATGAATGAGAATGAAATATTTAAATTATTGCTTTATGTTTGTTGATGAATGATTTAAATTATGTTGAAAATATGTGAAAGTATGCTAGGTGAGTCTCTATGCTTGTGTGTATTTGATAGTGAAGAGTACTCACTCTTACGTTTATTTTTTAGGTGACCATGATGATCAGCACCGGGTTCAGTGAAGGGATGGATGAAACTGCTATATGAATTGAAAATTTATTTTGAAAATCTTGATATATTTAAATTAGTCCTTTAGCATTGATTTGATTCAAACTTGTAATTTATCCTTATTTTGAAAGACTTTATTGAAACCATGTGTTGGGAACTAATTGAATGA